CTGAAGCACGATTTAGTTAGCTTCTAGTACATAATGAATGGCATTATAAATAAATTTGAGTGAGCAAAATATAAGCACAATATTTCTTTAACAATTGGACAGAGAGCTAAAACTGAAAGAAGTTTATAAATCCTAGCTTGACACACTTCATCTTAAGACAAACAAACCTTTACATAATTTATATACGTTCCAGGAGAAAAAAAAAAAAGACAAACGTTGAATTGGTGAATTTAAGGATATGAATGTAAAAGCTCATTTTGCTATAAGGTTTGTAATATTTTGCTAATATATGACTTAGTTCTCCAAAATTGTAGTTCAAGAGATTTACTTTTATAGTCTTGTGTATTATAACTTTGGAAAAGTTTATCATTTAGAATCATCTTTATATTCAGTGTAGCATATCCCACATGACTGACTTCAATTCTAGTGGTAACTTGGTAAAGCATGCCACCAGTAACAGTATGATTGCACATCCTTTTGTTGTTGTTTGGCAAAATTTATAGGCTTCTAATTTTAATCTAGTCCTTCTGCTGAGAACTGATACTTGAAATGCTAAAAAATAAGGCAGAAGGTCATTGAACATCCTTTCTAGAGGACATAAAATCATATCATTGCAAGCTCTTATTTCTCTAATCCCTAAAGCTTTACCAACTTGAGGTGGGAGAAGCATGAATTCTTAGGTTGTTTTCTTTTTTAGAACATATCTTGACTATTCTAAGAACTATAATTGGATTAAAGAAAGGATAATGATTTGTCTTTATCAAAAATATTGATTGCAATATCTGTCTGACCTATCTATGTATCTATCTGTCTGTCCACCTATCCAGTATCTCTAAGAAGAAAAGCGGAATCCCCACCTTAGCAAGAAAAAAAAAAAAAAAAAGATAAATAACAATCGTCTCATAATCTTAAATTCTTGATCCATCTTCCTTATGACCAGATTTTAAATATAGAATGTGGGCAATCAGAAATGCAATGTAAAATACCTAGTAACTTTGCTACTCTTCCTATGCTGTTCCTTTAAATTGTTACTCATATCAGCAAATAGCTCATTGGAAAGTGAGATTACCTTTTGGAAAAAATGGAGAACAGAGTGATGTCAAAAACTCAGTTATTGCTTCCTTGGGCTGTAAGAATGGCTAGTAACTTTAGTTAGTTTCCTATATCGTGTGTTTGTGTATTTATCACTAGTTCCTTTTTGTGAGGGAAAATATCTCTTAGTGGAACAGCAGTTCCTTAGAAAACCAGGTCAGGTTAGTTAGGTTAAATGGCCAAATGACAGTGGAGGGGTGGCGTAGGTTTTACCTCGATTCTTATTTCATTGATAATCCCCCGGAGTTAGGCAACTAATCTCTTGATTTTGAGTGCATCTCTCTGGCTGTATTCCCCACATCTGTATTCTAAACTTCAAGCCCCATTAGCATGTAGAATACTAGGTACAGTCCTGATGAAAGTTTATTTGGCACAGTGTTCATCCTGTTATGCACAAGTGCATAGAATTAAAATAATAATTTCTAGTTGATTTCATGCTTCCATAGTTTAACAGTCTCCAATGCTACTAGTAGATCCATTATACATATTTTTGTACAGAAAAGATGTACTGAAAGAAAATGTCAGCTTTTGAATAAACCTGTGTCCAAATTTACTCCAAAATGAAATTGAAAAGAAAATTGGAAATATGACTTTTAGAAGGATTTACTACTCTCTCCTTTCTGGGTAATTTGATACCACGGTATTCATAATGATCAGTGAAGTACTAAGGGCAATTTTGTGCTCATCTCTACACCAACCTGACATCTCCTGTTTTTACTTTAAGTGCAGTGAAATGTAATTAGCCAACAGCTTGGGGCTTGATTAAAATGTCACATTTTATAAATTTATGGTCATCTTCTGTGCCTTCCTGAAAGTGAAAGACTCAGAATTCAACTCAACCTACATGCCGGGTAAAGGTATTCATTCATTAAAGAAAAGGGAAATGAACTCCCTGGTGGTATTCAAGAGTTTCTATCCATTTCCTTATAAAGTACATGTAAATGATTTATAGAAACTAAACTTGAAAACCTTTGTGTGGATTTTGATTGCTAATTTTGTAAAACAAAGGCTACAGAATGCATCTCCTTAATTATTTAAAATCAATAATAATAATAAAACTAATAATAAAATTAGAACTGGTTTCTGACTGCTCTGAATCTCCTAATAAGCTTTGCCAGGAAACTTGACAGAATCTTCCAGAAAGAGGTGGGGTAGTGTACCTTCCACTTCTTGACCTTTGGCTCTACCATGAGACTTTAGGCAGTGGGACCTAGACAAGTGACGGCCAGTTCTGAGGCTAGGCCTTATGAGGACTTGGGCATGTCTAATGGTTCCTCTGCAATCAAACGGAAAGATCTCCCCTGGGATCTGCCCTGTCACATGTAGCAGACCTGAATGAGGAGAAAATTTCAGACAGACCTACGCTTGTTGTAGAGCACTCAGATGGTCTCTCTCCAGATCAGCCAACCACTAATCAGCTGACCCACAGATGTGTAACAAATAATTGCTGATGGGTACCACTGGCATTCCGCGGTTGTGGGTTAGGCAGCAATAGTTAATTGATACCGAAATGTAGGAAAATGACAAGTAGGATCAACTAAATAGTGCTGTTCATGGATAAGAATTGTACTCTCCAGCACAAACAAGGAAATGACTAACATTGGGGGATAGATGTTTTAATAATTTAGCAGATTTTTCTAAAAGTAATGCATTTACAACCTAGGGGTGTTGAAAGCAGAAATTCCCTGCATCAAATGATATATTTTTATAGAAGTAAGCACTCTTGAGATACTAGTTATTAGTCTAATTGATAAACAGGACAACTTATTAAAGTGAGTACCAAATGACTTCATGATTTTCTTTTACCAGTACCATGTTATATTTGTCAAGGTTCTCCTTTGAAGATAATGCAATATTTTCTTCCTAGATTCAGCACCAAGGGATTCATTGAGGGACTTAAATAGATGATGGAATCATTGGGAAGATTGAAGAAACAAACTCTATTGTGAGCTTCCAGGAACGAGTCTCAGAACTCATTACAATATTGGGTCCCCAAGGTAGCTGCTGCCTGAGCCCTGCCCAGGAAGGTGCTGCCCTACCAACCCCAGAACCACCCAGCTTAAGTGGTGAGCCACAGAGGTGACACAGTTGCCTTTCTCTCTCTCTAACTCAGCATCAAATCGGAGTCTCCCTCTGGTGCATCTGATTCATAAAGAATAGAGCTAGAAGGAAGTCAGTAAATATTTGTAGAGTCACCAGAATGTCTACAATGTGCCAGTCCCTGGCTTAGTCAATGGAAAGACAGCAGGAAACAAAACAGAGACCCTTGTCCTAGTGGACCTTACATTTATGGAGTGGGAAACAAATAAAAATATATAAAATATATAGTGTATTCATGGTGATAAGTACTGCAGGAAAATAAAGGAAGGAAGAGATGAGGCAGCGCTGTCAGTGAAGGTATGAAACTTAAATATTTTTGTTTGAAAATGCCTCACTTTAAATGTAACAGCTGAGCAGAGTCCCAAAGGAGGCGAAGGAATAAGCCATACAGACATTTGGAAGAAGAGCATTCCAGGAAAAGAGAACAAGTTCAAAAGCCCTGGGGAATGGGGGAGAGCGGAGCTGAGTGTTTAAGAAATGGCAAAGAGGCTGATGTGAAATGAAAAATGCTGAGAGTAAGAACACAAGGGCCTCAGAAAAGTAATAGAGAATCAGATTGTGTGCCTTCTTACAGGGCACAGTAAGGATTTTGTCTTTTAAGTGAAATAGGAAGTCATTGGAGAGTTTGACAAGATGAATGACTTGAACTGACATTTTTTGCCACTTAAAAAAAAAAGGTGAAATCCACAGAATATAAAATTAGACATTTTGAAATGAACAATTCAGTGGGATTTACCACATTCACAATGTTTCATAACCACTACCTCTATCTAGTTCCAAAACTTTTTGTCACCCCAAAAGAAAACCCCATCCCTACTAAGAAGTCATTCCCCACTCCCCATCCTTCTAGACCTGGCAAACACCAATCTGCTTTCTGTCTCTATGGACTTACTTATTCTGGAAATTTCATGAAAATGGAACTGTATAATATGTGACCTTTTGTGTCTGGCTTCTTTTACTTAGCACATGTTTTCTAAGTTCATCTACGTTGTAATATGTATCGGCACTTCATTCCTTTAATGACTCAATAATATTCCATGGTATGTATATACCACATTTTGTTTATCCATTCATCAGTTGAAGCATTCATCACTTGTTTCCACCTTCATCTACCAGTATTTGTTTGATTACCTTGTCTTTCAACTCTTTTGAGTATATACCTAGAAGTGGAATTTCTTGGTAATATGGAAATTCTGTATTAACTTTTTGAAGAACCACCAAACTTTTTTCAGTGCAGCCACATAATTTTATATCCTCAGGCTCAATGTATGAGGGGTCTAATTTTTCCATAGCCTCACCAACATTTGTTATTGCCTACCTTTTTGACAATAGCCATCTCAGTGGATGTGAAATGGTATCTCATTTTGTTGCCATTTTTTTTCCCAAACAAAATCACCCTGGCTGTTCTCTTGAGAATTGACTGTATGAGGACCAGGGCAGAAGCTATAGTAATTGTAAGAGTATTCATTTCAATAAAAACTACTGTGGTCGAATGGCAAATGAATTTTCTTTGTCTGTTGAAGAGCTGTATGAATGTCCAGAATGAAAAAACATGAAGCTATAGATTTCCCTACAGGGAAAGTCATGTGGAATGTTAAAAGAAAGAAAAGCAAAAGTCATAACACCCTCACAGAATGGTCACAGAATCTTGAACCGGGCATATTTGAATGATCACGCAGTTCCAGAAGATGAGGGCTGTGCTTGGGAATGAATTTATAGCTTTTTATCAGTCCTTTTCCCTTTAGCTGTAAGAAACAGAGAAACTAAATGAAAACTGAGTCAAGTAATAATGAAATTGTCTCCTGCAACTGTTACACCAGGGGAGATCAAACTCAACTCAGAGAAGAGGCTTAAGTGATGTCACCCCAGGACCCAGTTTCTCAAGTTCATCTGCATCTACTTCTCTTCAAGCGTGCATATCACTGTAGTACTTGCAACGTTTCTTCTATCCCAGCTTTAAATACTTCAGGAAAGATGTGAGTTCTTCCCCAGATGTCCTAGTCAATGTGCCATGGCACCTCATTGACTCCAGCTGATCATGAACCAACCACACGGGCTGAGTTGCATCATGGGCTCTCAGCATGAAGGTCCCACGCCTAGTGCACAGACAACAAAAGGAGGAGAGATGGATTGCCAAATGACTGTTAATAGAACGGAGTATCTGAATATTTGTCCTCACTCTGGTAGTTTTTCATTCTCTAAATTTGGATGTGTTGATATCTCTGAATCTCAATGGCCTTATTTAACCATCAGGGATGGAATTCTTTATTCCATATGTTTATTGGGAAGATGAAATGAGATAAAACATGTAAAATCCTTTGTGTATTATAGGCACTGAACAAATGACACCTGCTGTTCTTATTAATAAAAATGATTATAATAACCATAGTTAAATTGAATAACACTTAATATTTTATATGTCATCACCTACCCCTGTGTTTTGCCCATAATATAAATGAGTATGTACTGTTGAATAGGAAGTCATCTGTCTTTACTTCCTTTAACTAACATTGACAATGATGATAAGTTTGTCTTGTGTATTCACTGAAGAGAGTTCAGAATCCTCTCTACTGTCTTACAGTAAATTCTTGTACTGTCCCTTGTTCTTATTATTACTTGTTATTATTATTCAGAAGACATGATCGTTTATCAAATATCATAGATTTCATCCCATTAGTTTAGCCCATTCCTTGACTTTGGCATTTATTTCCAGGCCACTAAAATCATTTTCATTTGTATCACTACTTCATGGAGATCTTTTGCAGAGGATATGCTTTAGATTGGATTCCCCCAGAGGCAGAACCTGAGACAAGCACTTGAGTACAAGTGCATTCCTGGGAGATGATCCAAGGATGTGCTGAAAGAATGGAGCAGTGTAAAAGTGAAGAGAAGGCAGCTATAAATGGTGCATTTCAAGTCAGGTACCATGCAACTAGGTGCTTCTGTGGCAAGTGTGGGACACATGAGGAAACACAAAGTTCTGAGTTATCCCACCCAATGGGCAAGGATTTATATACCAAGACTCATGTATTTATACAACAGATCTTATGAGTTATTGGTTGAGGGGTCGATTCTCCAACACTTCCAGGCTCTTATTCATGTTGCAAAATGGGCTCTGGTGGAAAGAAAAATTCCTCAGAAAGAAATGGAGGGGCTTACAGTTGTAGTTGTAAGAGTGTGAATATGGGTAGAGCACAGACAGCGTCTGTTCTGGATGTATCTTAGAAAATAAGAATGCATCCTTTTTTTGTGGTCATGTGCTTTACATACACCAAGGAGATATATAATTATCTCCTTGGTGTGTGTGTGTGTGTGTGTGTGTGTATACACACACACACTTACATATATATATATACACTTGCATATATATATATAATACTTTACATGCACCAAGGATATGGTGCTTTACATACATGTGCTTTATATACACCAAGTTTGTGTGTGTGTGTTTGTGTGTGTGTACACAACCTACTTGTCAATCCTAAGTAGTGGCAGATCTCAGGTACTATATATGTGGTCTTGTTAAATGCAAATCCAATTTATACATTGTTAGGAAGTTTAGTGCAGAAAATGCAGATCCCATTAATATTAGAAGAAAAGTAACTGTCTATGATGAACAGCCACTGCCTCACTGTTTACATATTTTGGAAAATCATTTATTCTGAAAAGAGGACACACCTTTGAATATATATCTGTAAAGACTGGCCCATCTGCTGAAATACAGTAGCAGGGACTTGCAAATTCAAGAATGGAGTCAAAGTCAAGTTTGAGAGAATGGGAAGAGTCAGGAAACAATGAGGAAAATTCATGTGAGTTTACTTAATCCTGTGGGGGAACATGGAAAGTGGGAATAGAAAAGATTGCTTGGATTGGGTTGCTCAGAGCCCCACAGATTTGGAATTATATGGGCTATAGGCTTAGAGGGTCAGAATACAAGCTTTGAGGGTCATTTTATCTGAATCGATCCTGAAAACCTACCTGGTGGCTCGCCCTGTCACGAGGGTTCTTAACCAGCATTTTATGAAGCCCCTGAAATTGTGTGCAAAATGTGCAGTGTGTCAATGCATTTTTATCTTTGAAGAGGGTTCACTGCTTTGATCATATTCCTAAGAGACATCCAAGCACCAAGAAAAGATAACAATTGCAAGTCTTTGGAAAAGTTAGAGAATTTATTCATGCTTGGGACTTGGAAGGGAAACCTCTTGTGACTTACTAAGCACAATGTAACAAGTGATGGGTTACTTGTTACAAGTGAGGGAGAGGGTGCTGATTCTGTTGTACTGAGATTCAGACGAAGACAAGGACAAAACAGTGATCAATTGCCATAGAACAGATAACTGCAGACAGGACACCCCTGGAATCTCATTTACTCATTTTTTCAACAAGTTGAAGGTCAGTAAATTGAACCAACATAATTTGGATGTTATAATGTGTCCAGATTGTTCCAGGTTTGGGCTATTCAGTGCCAGAGCCAGTGGCCCTATGTGGCTATTGAGCATTTGAAATATGGCCAGTGCCACATAGAGAAGTGATAATATTTAAGAGATATATTACTATATAGTAGTATATGTAATAAATATATTTTACATTAATTTCACCAGTGGTCTTTTACTGATCTGATTAAGCTTCCAGGAAAATTTATAATATGTATGTGGGTCTCATCACATTTCTATTGGACAGCACTTCTAGATACTGACAAAGACTGTGTCCTGTTGGACGTTCAATTCTAATGGATAGAAGAGACAATTAACAGCAGACCTACTAAGTGAATTATATGGTATGGTAGAAGGTGATGAGGAGTTTGGGTGTGGGGAGGAAATAGCTGGAATAAGAGGGATCAAGTGCGATGGGGTGGTAGAATGTATTTTTCAAACTGAGTGCGACGGCAGGTTGCTTTAAGAAATTCGAACATTTGAACAAAGAACTCTGTAGTACGGAAGAAGAGTTTTGCAGGAAGTAGGAACAGTCAGTGCAAAGACCTTAATGTGGAAGCTTCCTTGACTTGTTTGAGGAACAACAAAGGGACCAAGGAGGCGGGAGTAGGGTGAGATTAAAGGGAGAGTAGTAGGGACTCAGGTCAGATTGGCAAGGGGTGTGCGAGGTGGGACAGATTATGGCATGTTTGAAGACATAGACCTTTGAAGTCTTAGACTCAGAATGAAATGGGGATCCACTGGAGAGTTTTGAGAGGGGGAATAGCCCAATTTGACTTACATTTTAAATGGATTGCTCTGGCTGGTATCTTGTGATGGTGAATCAGGAGACCAGCTTGCAGGTTCTGCAGGATTCTAGGCGAGAGGTAGAATGGCTCAGACCAAGGGGCTGGCAGTATAGATCCTGAGAAAGGTCAGATGGCCAAACCATTCAACTCCCTCCCAAAATTATTTTCAAACTTAGGACAAATAAGGGAGATTTTAACGTTATTAGCAGGTTTCTCTGCCAAAACAATATAGAATTTACTTCTTGGTCCGCTTGTATACAGATTTGAGCTCTGTTCCTTTTATCCCCATGCAGGCTTTGAGTTATTTATATGTTACTTAAATAGGTTCAAGCTTTTCTCTGGGAAACAATTATCCTTAGGAGGTGGGAGCTTTGCATATTTGATTATCAGATATGCATTTCCTGTTCACTGTCTTTCTGGAAATTCTATTTTCTGTGAAACCTCAGATGGATGGTAATAATAAATGTTTGCTCAGCAGCAGCTGGTCCCAGATTGTTATCCTGTCGTGAACATATTTTATTTATTCATCGTCATCTTTTTTAACCTCTTTTGGTAGCCTTTGCTTTTCTCTAGGCATTATATGTGAAATAAAAATATGTAGTGCTTAATGTGTTCACTTTCAAGTTTCTCTCACTGAATTAAGTACAATTGTATTTATATTAAAAGCCTCACGCAACCTGCTGTGCTTCACTGTGGATTTAAATAAGAACCTGAAAAATGAAGAAAGATCTTCAAACATTGCATAATGTTAGGACAAGTGCTCCACTTTTTAAAGTGCTTTTGTAGGGAGGTCTTTAATGTTGACTTTGTATTAAGAATGTTGTTTTCAAAAGAATTTGCTAGTGTTAGATGTGAAAGGGTTAGGGAGAGAATGGAAGAACCCATCCCCATAAAGTCTACTATAGCATCAATATACTTCTTATTTTGTACTAAGTGAAATGAAAAAAAAAATCTTAATGGACCATAATGTTCTGTTTGTGCTGCATTCAAATGGGTGACACACTTTATCTGATGATCATATTATCCAGATCAGTCTTAGATAATATTTAGTAACCCAAAACTGAATGAAGGTTATTTATTCTAATGCCTGTGTGACCTAGGGATTATTTTTTTTCCTGACTAGACTTATTTGATCTTAGTGTGAGTAACTCAATTGTTCAAATCCATTAGGAATTACCACCAGATAAACTGATAAATTAAAACGAGTTGTTCTTAACTCTGATAGCTTGCCTTTTGAAGGAAAAATTTGAATAGTTGGTAAGGCTATGGTCTTCAGTGGCAAACAGATCTGTATTCTGACCCCAACTCTCTGACTTACCAACTTTGCAACCTTGATCAATATAATCAATATTTCTGAGCCTCTGTTTTCTCAATACAGATACAGAAAGTTTACCTTATAGTGTTGCCATAAAGAGAAAGGGAAATACTGTTTGTGCATTAGCTTTTTTTTTTTTTTAAAGATTTTATTTACTTATTTGACAGAGGGAGACACAGCGAGAGAGGGAACACAAGCAGGGGGAGTGGGAGAGGGAGAAGCAGGCTCCCCACTGAGCAGGGAGCCCGATGCGGGGCTCGATCGCAGGACCCTGGGATCATGACCTGAGCCGAAGGCAGACACTTAACCAACTGAGCCACCCAGGCACCCTTGTGCATTACCTTTCGATTGCTACCTCACAAGTTACTGCAAACTTAGTGTCTTAGCACAACACCCATTTTATTATCCCCTCACTTCCGTAAGTCAGGAGTTCAGGAAGGCTCAATGGGGTGGTCTGTTTAGGGTCCCACAAGGCTGAAATTAAGGTGTCAAGTGTCAGCTCACCTGGGCTCTTACCTGGAGAGGCTGGGTGAGAGTCTATTTCCAGGCTCATTGAGGTTGTTGCTAGACTGGTTCCGCGTAGTTGTAGGACTGCGATCCTCATTTCTTTGCTGGCTACTGGCTGCCGAGATATCCTCAGCTTCTCAAGGCCACCTTTGTGCCCTGGTGTGTGCCCTGTTCATCTTCAAAGCCATAAACAGCATGTTGAACCTTTCTGGTACTCGGCATCTCTCTGCCTTCCCTTCTGCAGACTCTGCCTGATGCTCTTTTCTGTTTCTGCTTCTTAGAGCATGTGTGATGATTTTGGGCTCACCTGGATAAACCAGGCCACTATAGCTATTTTAAGGTTAACTGACTAGTAACCCTCATTACATCTGCCAAGTACATTTTGCCAAGTAACGTGGTCTCGGAGGTGACACCCAGGGGCAGAGTCATGGGGGACAAAATTCTGCCTACCACATTTTGCAAAATACTTAGCATGCTTTGCTTGAAACAGAATGAATGCTGACGACTGGTTGTTTACAGCAACAATGAGGACAACACCCCCATGCTGTGGGCATCTCTACATTCTAAACAAATGTGCTACCCTGAAGTAAATTCCAAGGCATGTTAGTTACTATGACTGTTTTTAACACGCCTTGTTATGAAGTTGGACAATACCACAGTATTTCAATGACAACTTTATTCACCTAAAATGAGGAATGAAAATTAGAGAGGAGGTGTTAACCTTTATGCCTTTTCTGAGGTTTGTGGGAGCTGGGAACTGGACGGACTGATAATAAGACAATGTATGTTGTGCTCACAGGGAAGGGAACCTGCTTTTCTGAAGGAGCCCTTACGTTAGAAATCATTGGATAAATGTGACAGGAAGCATTGGGACGGTGACAGCAGTGTTAGCTGTATTCAGCAAGGAAAGGTAAGAGAAAGAGCATTCCAAGGAGAGTAGTCGAAGAGAGGAGAAAGAGGGAGGCTTAGAGGGTTTACCCAGAGTGAAAAGAAGTAAGGGTAACAGCAGTGTGTACATAGAAACTATGTTGATTAACTGGATGTTTATTAATGTTTACAATATTTAAAACACACAACAGCACTTGGAAGAAAATTAAACGAGCACACAAAAAGTGAAACTCATCATATGGGAGATGCTGTTGATGCCCACCCTTATTTCTTTATCACTCTCCATCCCCAGGATTTCTCAACCTTGGCACTGTTGACGTTTTGGGCCAGTTAAAAAAAATCTGTTGTGCGGGCGGGAGCGGGGGGGTGGTTCCAGATGTTGTAGGATGTATAGCCGAATCCCTAGCCTCACCCACTGGATGCCAGTAGTCCCATCCCCATCCCAGTTATGACAGCCAACAGTGTCTCCAGAAGTTGCTGATTGCTCCTGGTTGGGAAGCACTGAGCTAGACCAGTGGTTCACACACTTGAGTGTACATCAGAATCACCTGGAGGGCTTGTTAAACCAGACTGCTGGGTCTGAGCCCTGAAGTTTCTGCTTCAGTCTTAGGTACTGCTTGAGAATTTATATTCCTAGTAAGTTCTCAGGTGATGCTGATGCTATTGGTCCAGTGACCACACTTTGAGAACCCCTGCTATAGATACCTAAAGCTTCCTGCTGCAATCACCCGATGCTGTCCCTGAGGGCTTTCTCTGGCAATCTGCCCCTTGAAACAGGCATGAAGTATTAGAGAATCAGTGACCTGGGAGTAGCCAGTAGGGGGTAGCAATTAGGGAGGGGAGTAGGTAAATACCTCATGTCTCTTACCTCTTAGGTAAGGTTCTTCACAGTTTCCCAGCGGTCTTCCCAATGGCATACAGCAATAATCTGTTCATTAACTCATCTCTACTGGCTTCTTCCTTTCTCTGTCTCACTTTTCTCCTCCTCTACTGGCACTTTCTGGTACCACCTCCCAAATGAACTACATTTGCTCAAACCCTTATATGGCAGTCGCCTTCTGGGAGAACCTAAATTAGGGCACATGTTATAACTATAATTTCTAGGTTTTTCTTTTTTCTTTTTGTTAAGGACTGTTAATTTGTCCTCCCTTTAGCTCAGAGGTTCTCAACTGGGAGCAGATTTGCCCCTCTCTGCCATTGGATATTGGCAATATCTGGAGACACTGTTGGTTGTTATGAAGGTGGATGATAGATAGGTGCCACTGGCATTTCGTGGATAGAGGCCAGGGATGCTGCTAAACATCCTACAAGAAAGAAATGTAGGGACAGGACAGCTCCTGCAAGAAAGAATTATCTGGTTCCAAATATTAGCAGTGCCAAAGTTGAGAAACCGATTTCTAGCCTAAGGGATCCAAGGAGGGTGCATACCCAGAAGTATGCAGTTATCCTCTCTGGAATTACAAGCTTAGGTTCAAGTTCAGAGACAGTTAAGATTCTGAAGTGTAGCCATTCATCTACCTGAGAAATAGTAGGCACATTCATTCCAAAGTATTTTTTCTTATTCTGTTAATTGGAGTATTCTTATTCCATAAGATCTTTGAACTTCTTAAAAAAATACTTTCTCACAAGTATATGTTCAGTTTTCAGTAAATGCAATTTTATGAAGGATTAAAAAATGCAGTTAATATGTTAATAGATATTTTTGAAAGTCTTGCTTTTTCTGTTTTTCTTTCATTCTCCTTCTCCCCCTTAAGGAAAATACCAGCTGCTTGTTATGTGTGTTGAAGTGTATCCCAGGTCAATGTATTATGCAGCTCTATACGTGCATCTGAGCATCCTATAAGAGAAGAAGGTGATCACCAGGTTGTTTCTATAGAAATATCAAATTAATTTTTGGCAGAAGATTGAATTGCCATTGCACTGATGGAAATTGGTATATTTGGATAACTGCTTTCAAGTTTTCTCTTCTGCTTAAATTGTTACTATTCAAAGAAGTTTCTGGATACCTGACACATAGGGCATTTTCTCAGTGTAATCTTTTGAAATGTTGAATACTAATGAAAATGTTAAAGTCAATCAGTGTAAAAAAAAATAAACTAACCTTGATAAATGTATAGTAAAAGATAATGGAAGAAAAAAAACAGAATCACTGTATAGAAATAAGTGTTTCTTTTTAAATACAAAAACTCAAGATAAACTAATTTGTGAGCCATTGATTTGAAAAGGAGAGAAAAAATAGAAGTAGGACAAGGAGCTGAATTTAAATATATCCTCTGATAATAGTAATTTCTCAAAAACTTTTAAAAAGAAATGGATCACCTCAATTTTTGAAATTGATAGTGTATTATTTTCAAAAATCCAACTTTTATCAGTGTACAATAGTCAAGATGAGTAGGTGTGACTGATTTTTAATCCCAATTATTTCTCAGAAGTCTGACATCAGTCATTAAAGTTTTAAAATTCAGATCAGTATTTCTTTTTTTTTTAATATCACACAGCCTGAAATGTAGCTATTAAATAATTAGCTATAGGTAAGTTCTGTTTGCAGTAATTATACCAAAAAAGCTATTTAATATCATTGGGTTGCAGATTAAAATAGATGTCTATTTTGTGTCACAGTATTTCATTCAACAACCTTCATACTTAAATCTAGCCATAAGACAGTCACCACTTTTAAAACCTTAGATTATTTGTGCTTCCATGTGGAAGACAATATTTCATGTGACAGCTTTTCTAGAGAATATACGGTGAAGTAACATTGGGGATGGGGCAAGAGAGGAAGTTGGGAGAGAGAGAGATGATGAATGAAAGGTATGGTTTGGGGCATCTAAATAGGAACAAAGATTTTAGGGAATACATTTCTGCAAATTCCCTTTAAAATACTAATTTTAATCTGTGGAAGATGTTACATTTTGTCTGTTTATATACAAAATAAAGTGATTATGTATCTGCTAAAATATGGGGACTATGGATAAATGATAGTAAGTCAGGCCCTCTTTACTAATTGAAGAGAATAAGTGAAAAGGTTGAAAATCTGTGTAATTAGGTGAATAGCAATTGCAAGTACCCATTTTGTAGTGATTTATTTTCTGTTCCTTACAATAAAAAGGTTTAATATCAAAAAACAAATTTCTGAGACTTTAAGATAGAAGGAGAATTAAAAACTAACATTCCGGGGTGCCTGGGTGGCTCAGTTGTTGAGCGTCTGCCTTCAGCTCAGGTCATGATCCCAGCGTCCTGGGATCGAGCCCCACATCGGGCTCCCTGCTCAACAGGAGGCCTGCTTCTCCCTCTCCCACTCCCCCTGCTTGTGTTCCCTCTCTTGTGTCTCTCTCTGTCAAAAAATAAATAAAATCTTTATTAAAAGAAAAAAAAACAACTAACATTCCTAGTGACAGAAAAGACCCTAAATATTCCTATTTGGAGGGCGCTTGGGTGGCTCAGTTTGTTAAACGACTGCCTTAGGCTCAGGTCATGATCCCGGAGTTCCTGGATGGAGTTCCTGGATGGAGTCCCGCATCCGGCTCCCTGCTCAGCAGGGAGTCTACCTCTCCCTCTGACCCTCTCCCCTCTCATGCTCTCTCTCTCTCTCTCTCTCTGTCTCTCATTCTCTCTCTCAAATAAATAAATAAATAAAAATTCCTATTTGGACATCTCTTTTCACTTTTTGTATTGTTTCATCTTGAATACAATAAATTAGTACCCCAAGCTATTTGGGCATACTTTTTTCTAACTCCACCCAAAACCAAGAAGATGATGGCCATATTCATTGCTTTAGACAAACTGTCATGCAAGGTGATTGGTTTGGGAAAAATCATACCTCCCTTGAGGATGTATAGTTGATGAATGGAACATAATGGAATTTAAATTCCCTTAAATACACAATGAAATTTCCAAAAAATCACAGCAAAATGTATTTGATATGATTTTTATGTCACTACATGAGCTCAGCTCATGGATTTGGGGCATGATTCAATACAGTTTATCATCTCTCGAAGGCTACTTTGAGAATCAGCATAGCACTGTCTATCTAGAACAGACTAAACAAATGCAAATATTTGCCCTACTTGAAAAACTATAGTCTTCAAGTGAATGGTGGGGATTCTGATCTCCTGAAGGGAAAATCAATTAGGTGAAGGGTGAGCTTTGTCTCAAAATAGCTGCGTTACCTAAGGTAAACAAACCACCCA